CTGGCCGACACGCCACGGCCAACAGCCCGCCGCCGCGGCCGACCCCCAGCCTGCTGACGGAACACCGCTCCGTCGCCGCCGCGGGGGCGCGGTGACGGGCCGCGGGGCGTCGTCAGGACGCGACGGCACCCAGCGCCCGACCGCCTGAGCACGGCGCTGGGCCGGAGCCACAGTCGCAAAACGGTCGTGCGAGCCGGCGGCTCGGAGACATCCGCGCGCCGTCGAGGGCTGGCACCGAGCCCCGGCCGGCGGTCCGGGGCCGTCGCCGGCGCAGGCGTCGGCCCCACCGCAGACGCAGTCAGCCTAACGGACGTCGCAGGCCGGTGGGCGGGCGCAACAGCGGCACCGGCCCTCGCTCGCCGGTTCAGGGTGCGTGTGCACTAACTGTACCGCCTTCACGGCAGTGGTTTCACTGCCGCTTGAGAGGCGCAGCATATTTATTTCGGGTGAGGGTGCGCCGAACACGGTCGCGCCCTATGGCAGACCTCGGCCCCGACGTACGGCACGCTCCACAGGCGTGCTGCGGTGAGGAATGCAGACATGAAAACAGAGAGGCTCACGCCACGGCGATTCGAGAAGAGCAGTGGGGCCGGAGTGGCCGGCGGGCGCGCGCGCGACATGATTCTCTTGTTTGGAATACACCCAAGTCCAGCAGACCCGGGGCGCAAAGGTCAGGGGTGAGCTCAAACACGCGTCCACCGGCGGCGAAACGGGAGTGGGCCAGCGAGAGCAACCCGCCGGCGTCCGGCTCCCGTCCCGTCCCTGCGCAGCCGCGCGGCTGGAGCCCGGCCGGCACAGCCCGGACCAGCTCCCGCCCCGTCCCTGTGCAGCCGGCCGGCACACTCTGACCACTGTTCCCCTCCAGTCTCTGTGCAGCAGCGCCGCTGGAGCCCGGCCGGCACACCCCTGACCCTGTTCCCGTCCCGTCTCTGTGCAGCAGCGCAGGCTGGGGTCAGGCCGGCACACCCCTGACCCTGCTCCCGCCTCGTCGCTGTGCGCCCGCGCGGCTGGAGCCCGGCCGGCACACCCCTGACCCTGCTCCCGTCCCGTCTCCCTGTGCAGCCGCGCTGTTGGGGTCCTGCCAGCACGCCCCTGACCCTGCTCCCGTCCCGTCTCCGTGCAGCAGTGCGGCTCGGGTCCGGCCGGCAACACCCTGACCCTGCTCTCGCCCGCGTCTGTCCAGCCGACCACATTCACACATGGGACAGTCTGGCGCAGATCCGCCACCCAGCGCCTTATCTGAATCGACACAAGCCGAAGGATCAGGACGCAGAACCAGACGCGGTCCACCGGCATCCCAGCCGTCCACCAGCAGCTGGCATTGCCAGACCGCAGGCCGACCGGGCACCCTCCCAGCGGGACGTTGCCCATGCTAATACCGCAATCGCCCATCTCGGCGAGCGCGGCTGGCGGCGCCGCTGCCCGGCGACAATCGGAGCCGGTCAGCCGGGGTCGTGGGGCCCGCCCGCCCGGCCGGTCTCCGCTCTCGCCGGGCCGCGGCTTTGTTGGCAGGAGGCTCAGCTCGGGTCCCGGCCTGGTCACACGGTCGAGCTGCTCCGACCGGGCCCGGCCTGCCCTCCGTAGCTCCTCCGCTCCGCCCGTGCCGTTCTTGTGGCATATTGTCAGTTGATCCGCCCAGCTGGGGGGGTGAGATTGTTTGCCAGTTGGCCCGTTATCTGCTGGTCTGCGGCGTGCCGTCCGGCCGGAGCGCCCTCACCTGGTCGGCCGTCTGCAGCAGGTTGTCCAGCTGCTCCTGCGCCACGTCGATCTCGCCCTTGTAGACGAACTCGATGACGTGCCGCAGGTCCGAGTAGCGCACATCCCGCGGCAGGATGATGATCGGGTGCTTGCAGGGGTTGTTCAACAGCAGCGACTGGAAGTACGGCGAGCAGGCCGACAGGACCACCTGGCGACGGAGGGACGCCGACTCAGCGGAGGTACGGCTACGGTGCGGCAGGACGAGAGCGGTGCCCGTGGACCGGCACGGCAGGACGGGAGCGGTGCCTGTGGACCGGCACGGCAGGAGGAGCGGTGCTGTGGACCGGCACGGCAGGACGGGAGCGTGCCTTGGACCGGCACGGCAGGACGGGAGCGGTGCCTGTGGACCGGCACGGCAGGACGGGAGCGGTGCCTGTGGACCGGCACGGCAGGAGGGAGCGGTGCCGTGGACCGGCACGGCAGGACGGAGCGGTCTGTGGACCGGCACGGCAGGACGGGAGCGGGTGCCTGTGGACCGGCACGGCAGGACGGGAGCGGTACTGTGGACCGGCACGGCAGGACGGGAGCGGTGCCTGTGGACCGGCACGGCAGGACGGGAGCGGTGTGACCGGACGGCACGGCAGGACGGGAGCGGTGCCTGTGGACCGGCACGGCAGGACGGGAGCGGTTGCCTGGACCGGCACGGAGGACGGGAGCTAGGTACTGTGGACCGGCACGGCAGGACGGGAGCCGGTAGCCTGTGGACCGGAACGGCAGGACGGGAGCGGTGCCTGTGGACCGGCACGGCAGGACGGGAGCTGACCTGTGGACCGGCACGGCAAGGACGGAGCGGTGGCCTGGGGACCGGCACGGCAAGGACGGGAGCGGTACCTGTGGACCTGCACGGCAGGACGGGAGCGGTACCTGTGGACCGGCACGGCAGGACGGGAGCGAACCCTTGGACCGACGCGAAAGAACAACGACCGTCGACGAGACGGCGCTGAGGCACTGCATGATTGGCTGCGCTCGTAAAACTGATCGGCACGATGAGCGTTTGATTGTTTTACCAGGTACTAACCCTTATGCCACGCGGCATCTACCTCATGATGATGATTTGGGGTTTTGGGGCACACCGACTACCTCATAGCGTCGAAGTCATCAACCTCATAGCGCAGGAGGATGCAGAGGGGAAGGAACAGAGCTGCGAGCACCACTGGCTGAACATCGGGATTTTGGAGATTTGGAATAATTATTCGACTACCGGTTCCACATCGGTATCCTTCTCAGCCAGCTCAGTTGGTAGGGTGCTGGAGTCGAAGCCAGAAGGCCCCGGTTCGTGTCCCAGAAATTCCAGCGACGGGAATCAGGATGCGCCGCTTACATAGTTAAAAGCGAAACACCGTTAAGTCGCTCCCAGTGCTCAGTAACGGCTGACGACGGCCGGAGCATTAACTGGCCGCAACGTTGGGTACACACCAGACGACGATGGCCCGAACAACTGTAATACTAATACCTTCTCAATCCTTCCGTAAAGCTGTGGACGGTGAGTCCCGCAACCACAAACAACCCTTGTCTCAATCCTTCCGTAAACCTATGAACGGTGGGTCCAGCAACCACATACAACCCCAACGAGCTGGCACCTGGGCCACTGGTTCATCGCACGATCCCAGACAAAATAACCTCGTGAAATCCCACAATCAGCCAGAGAAGCACAAAAGCTAAAAACACACGAAAAAACAAACCAATCGTGCGTGCAAAATGAACAAAAAAGCGACTGAAAACCATCCGTCCATAAATGCTTACATTTATACGCGAGCGCAGGGAGGAAGAACGCAACACGTCGTGCTGATCTCATGACCAGTCCGGTGAGATAAACCAGGGCACGACAACGAACGTTTACGCCCTGGCAGCGGGCCTGGTTTCAGGAAAAGGCGGCACGCCAACGGTGCAAACAACAGGCCGCTTAGCATACCCCTGGATGCAAACACGCGCCCATCCAGCGCTGCATGAGCGCCGTCCGACATTGACAGTTCCAGGAAGCGATGCGCCACCGCACCTGGCGGGCCCGAGCGCCTCTCGGCGGCGTGCTGCACGGCACGGCGGCAGAGGCGAGCGCGCGCGCGCGCGCGCGCCGGTCCTCCTCCTCCTCAGCGACCGCGGAATGCGGCGCGCTCGCCGGCCCGCTAAGCTGCCGCGAGCGCGTCCTGCCAGGCCGGATTCACAGTGCCCGCGCCGGCGCCATCAGCCGCCCGCGCGGCGGCCGCGCCCGCTCTCGTGAGGCACCGCATCGCTTTCTCGGCGGCGGCGGCGGCGGCGGCGGCGGCGGCGGAGGCCGGCCCCGTGCACGCCGCTGGCGACGAATGCAGCGCGGGCGCTGCCATTGTGTGTGCCGGCGGCCGAACGGGCTCGGCGATGCACGTCCAAGTTCACAGTTCACGTCCAACATAAATACGTCGGGCGGCGGCGGCGGCGGCGAGTCCGAGTCCCGGAGCTCGCCGCCGCTGTCAGCACCGCGTCCGCTGCCGACCGGCCCGCTTATCTGATAAAACCGCTAGCCGGCCCGGTGACGACGGCGGCGGCAGCGGCGGCGGCGCGGCGGCAGCCATGAGCGCCGGCCAGCCAGCCGCCGATCGCCACCCATTCATCATCGCCGTGCAGCGTTTATTTTCGCCGGTAACGGGGTCGCCTCGCTGGCGCGCGGCTGCAGCGAGCGCGCGCGCGCGCCCGCCACGAGCCGGCATTAGCGGTCAGCCAGCGCGACCGGGGCCGAGCGCGGCCGCCCGCTCAGAGCCGCTCAGCGCCGCCAGCGCCGCCGGCGCCGCCGCCACCGGCGCGTATCCATTCATTGCCGGTGTCAGGGCCGCGCTGTGTCCGGACCGCGGCGCCGTCCGCACCGCGCGACCGCCCGCCAAACCAGTTCACCTTCGGCGCGCCGGCCGCGCCGCCGTTTCCATAGTCACCAGCCGGGCCCGGCCGCGCGTCACATGTCCCGCAGCTGTGGTCAGCGTGCGTGAGGACGCACCGGGCAGCCCACCAGGGCGTGACCCTATGCACGTGAGCATGTGCATTCATTTGCGCGCCAACGTGGGAGTGTACTCTTCCGACGCCCGGTGGCGCGTAACCGCCGCTGTGTCGCCGGCAGCCGCCGAGCAGCTGCATAATGCACGAGCCTCCGAGAGTTCCGTGCCCCCGTTGCCTATGAGCGTCGCCGGCGCCGTCGGGCGGCGACGGGCGGTATCGGCGCGCCTGCACCATGCACGCCTCCCACGGCCGGCGCGCGCCAGCTGCAGCGGCCGCCGCCCGGCCGAGAGACGGCTAAAATTAGCGGCGGCGGCGGCGGCCGGCTCGGCACGCCGGCCATGGTACGCAGTTAACAGAGGACGGCCGAGAGAGCGGGCGGGCCATGGCAGCGCGGCATTGATCGGTCGGCAACAGGTCGGCCGGCCGGCCACGACAAAGGCGCGGCCCGGCGTGAGCGGCGCCGCGGGCCGCCAGCCGCATTATGCACGGGCCGCCGCCGCCGATCGGCCGGTCCCAGATCAATACGGGGTTTTCTCGTGTTCTCCGGCGGCGGGCGGCACATGGCGCGCCGCCCACCCAAGGCCGCCGGCCGGCGCCGCGCTGCAACCGGAGCCGGCCGGCCGCCACAATGGCGGGCGGCGTCAGCACGGCGGCCGAGGCGCACGGCTCTGGCGGCCGGCCGTGCGGGCGCGCCCGCGCCGCCCGCCCCATGACCGCTCCCAATAAATCAGCCCGCATTGATCAGTGCAACAATGGCCGACCGAAACACACACACACACACACACACAGATCGGGCAGCAGCAGCGGCGGCGGCGGCGGCGGCGGCGGCGGCGCGCGCGCAGGCGGCGCGGTGGGGACGGCCGGGTGTGGCGGGCGGACAGTGCCCCCGGCCGACCGCAGCCCCGCCGATGCCGGCTCTCCCCGGTCACCGGCCACCGCCGGCTCACCGAGCAGCCGCGCCGCCTCCTGGTAACGCACCCGGGCGGGCACGTCAGTCGGCCGGTCGGCCGACCGGCGGATGAGGACGGATGCCGGGGCGGAGCGGTGGCGCCCTGAGAGGACGGCGTGCGCACGGACACGACAGCACTCACGTCCTCCCATGCGTGATGGTGCCACGCTTTGGAAAGTAGGACAGCCGATAGAAACGAGCCGGCCGGACGGCGTCGCCCAGATCCGGGCGGCGCACGGACGCGAGTTCTCGAAACGCCATCGGAGCGGGCTAAGCCTCTGCATGACAGACAATGTGAGAGGAGCAGGAATCCGTCCGTCTGGCCTGATCAGCACGAATACGGGAAACCCGCAGCGCCGAAACTAAGCCAGCGGCAGACCACTGGATGGAGAAGGCCACCATAAAGCCCCTCTGAGACCTTAAGAAGAACTCTTGCACAACGACCTCCGAAGACCCGATCTGCGCTGGCATTGGCAGACGGACTACTGGCTTATACAGTTCACAGGGTGAAGTGGCGAGATTCCGACGTTTGCTGTTTACATACAGCAGCGCCGCTGATCATATACATGCAGCAACGACACAACCAAGTACGCAGTGAGCCTTGCTCCCTCATGCGGCATTACACCCCGTCGCAAACCGAGAAGGCCGCAGGCAAACCGGGAAATTTGCACGACAGCAAACAACTCCCATCCATGACAACGGGCTACAGATAGAGCACCTCACCAAATGTGCATTTAACCTGCTGACAGTAAACAGCTCCACCACGAGAAAGCGTGATCAAGAGCAAACACGGCAAGTCACGTGGATGACGCCTACGTAGAGCCGACAATGCCACCCCATGACAACATGCTCATCACTGAGCAGGGCGGCAAATCTGAATGCTATCTGCATGGCAGACAATGCCAAGATGTGGTGAGATGATCACGAGCAAATATTGTGGAAGCCTGGAAGGAGCTTGGAGACGGCAGGCAACTCAATGACGGGACAACAGGCAACGACCATCCGCCACAGGAAAATACAACCCCGCACGGAAGCGGCAAATGCCTGGATCAAGTAAAAACAGCAGGACTTCTTCCACACACAGCCACTCTCATCGTGGTCCATCACGCCCGAGAGGCAACTGGTACATGCGAAACCTTACCTAAGAGTAGCTAGGGTTGCGTCCTAAAATGCGACCCAAGCTTAAAGGCTAAAGGGTAACTTATAAATATTGGAATACTTTTAAGTGGATAGGAGTA